CTAACGAATATACCGTCGATAACCAATTCAAACGGGTGAGACACACAAATAAAATCAAAATGGGGAAGCCACCTCAGTTATTTTAACACATAAACATAGCAAAAATAACAACGCCTTTATCATAAACAAAAAAAAAAAAAAGAACAAAGATAACTCCGCAACAAAATGAGTCGTACCTAAATTTCCGATGAAGACACATTTCTTCTGTTGATCTAGCATAAGGTTAGATATGGGCCTACCCACCTCCAACCATGATGCCCTTGCATGGATCCTCTCTTAGAACGAGGCACATCAGTAACCTAAGACGGTGCCGGATGCCAGCCCTAATGGGAGAGGGAGATGGCGTTGCAAGCAAAATAATAGAAACTCCAATTATCGAGAGAGAGAGAGAGAGTTAACATCTAGTTGTGCTTGGTATGAAGGAAGAAAAGATATATAATTCAGGTGAGGAGGAAAAGAAAAAAGATAAATGCGAGGATTTTAAAAGACATACTCGACACATTCAAAATCGAGTACGACCAAAATTCGTTACAGTTGATGGATAAAACCAGTCAACTAACACCAAATTCTGAATATAGGGGGCACAAGTAACATGACTTAAAAATAAATCTAAGAATAAACTAACGAATATACCGTCGATAACCAATTCAAACGGGTGAGACACACAAACAAAATCAAAATATGGGGAAGCCACCTCAGTTATTTGAACACATAAACATAGCAAAAATAACAACGCCTTTATCATAAACAAAAAAAAAAAAAAGAACAAAGATAACTCCACAACAAAATGAGTCGTACCTAAATTTCCGATGAAGACACATTTCTTCTGTTGATCTAGCATAAGGTTAGATATGGGCCTACCCACCTCCAACCATGATGCCCTTGCATGGATCCTCTCTTAGAACGAGGCACATCAGTAACCTAAGACGGTGCCGGATGCCAGCCCTAATGGGAGAGGGAGATGGCGTTGCAAGCAAAATAATAGAAACTCCAATTATCGAGAGAGAGAGAGAGAGTTAACATCTAGTTGTGCTTGGTATGAATGAAGAAAAGATATATAATTCAGGTGAGGAGGAAAAGAAAAAAGATAAATGAGAGGATTTTTTTTTCTATTGTATTGGTATGTATTTACCCTTTAATCTCCCTGTGTTGAGAGAGATTAAGATGGGGGTTTGTTTTGAAATCCTTCTCCAATTTATTTTTCTCCTAGAGCCATTTAGAAGGTAGGTTTAAACTATTCAAATTTTTGAGATAAAACACTATAGCATAACTTTTCTTTTGGTGTTTTTTTTTTTAAATTTAATTTAAAAGTTCTTTTAATAATTTAAAAAACTTTTAAATTCAAAAATTTTTTTAAAAAAAGAAAACACCATTTGAATCTAAAATAAAGTGATTTGACCAATCCTCCAAACACACCTATTTTATCTCTTATTAAATAATGATATGTCCCAATTTCCTTCCATCATTTCTCCCAAATGTTTGTCTCCTTCTACTTCTCCCTCTAACCAGCAAGCTTTAAGAGAATCCATGTTCTTTTTCTGTTTCCTTCAGGTGGACAATGAAAAGAAGGGTGTTAAGTGGAACAAAACCAAAGTTCGGAGTAAGTAAAATGAGAAGTTTTAAAGTTATGAGATATAGGAGGAACAACCTTAAGTATGGGTGTGAATAATACTTTGTTAAACGTATTCTCAAACACCTAATTATTTTCTTAAGAAATTAAATTAATAAGCTACAAATTAAAAATTAAGGGAAAATTTCATAATACCATGTGTTTTAGCATAATAGAATTTGCATTTTAATAATTTTGAATTGGTATCTATGTTTTAAAAAATCATTGCTCACTACTTTAAGGTCATTTTTTAAGACGTAAAATGTCATTTCTACTTTTGTACTTAATAATTTTTTTTACAAACATATTAAGACCTCGTTCGTTTTGCTCATTCGAGTTAAGAACTTAAGTTAAAAAGTGAGTCCACATGAGAAAAAATATTGTAGTAGAAAAATAATTTGAACTTTTATGAGAAAAAACACAGAAACAAAAATTTGATTCATAATTCGAGCTAGTAAAACTAAGGAGGCCTAAAAATATTTTTAAAAAGCTTAAAATAGAAAAAAAAACAAAAACAAAACCTTCATCCAAACAAGCAAACTTACCAAAATTTTACTGATTTATCCATGTTCATGTTACCGATTCGAGTTTTATTACAATAAAAAATTTTAAAAAATAATCACATTTAATTTTTTTACTATAATAAAAAATTTTCACATAAAATTATATCTCAATTTAAATTAAAAATTTAAATCAATAAAATTAAACCGCTCTGTCATTTATTTTTATTTTCTGCCAAAGAAAAAGCTATTTACTTATTATTATTTATTTTTTGCGTACTGCCCAAATAATTATTCTTCTGAAATCACTCCCAAGTCCCAACCACGTCACCACAACATCTGACGCGGACGGTTGGGATTGCGCATTGCATGACGCCTCCTCACCTTGGAGTGGGACCCACGCCGTATGTTTATACTACGCCGTTTCACCGCCTACGACTACAAGCCGCGTGTTTTTCCGTCTCCTTATATCCCTTCGGCTAATTAGGGTTTATATTCCGCTTCTGTAAAACTGAAAACCTGTTTGGCTTTTCTCCCCATAGAAAGAAAATGCCGGGATTGACTTGTAACGCTTGCAACAAGGAGTTCACCGACGATTCGGAACTAAAACTCCATTACAAGTCCGAATGGCACCGCTACAATCTCAAGCGCAAGGTTCGTATTTCCACTACTTTCCATTTACAATCCCTAATTTTCATCTAATTTATGCTTTCTAGAGTTAGGGTTTTCATATATATATATATATATATATATATATATGCATGTCTGTATGGATTTATGTGCACGTTGATGAAAATTGGGAAAATGTTTGAATCTCTAAAATTTCAAGTATTCCCATTTTTTGGGAGCCGATAATGGAGTTTGATCTTTTGCCGCTTAAGATAATTTCGATTGTTCACTCGTGATATAAGTTATATGCCTATAATTTATTGAGTTTGTGGGTCGCAGGCTTCTATTCTCAGCCAAAATAATTTGGAGAATTTGAGATTTTAAATGTTTTGCCTAAAAAAATCATTTTCCATCTATCAAGTTTCATTTTCCGAATTTCAGTTAATGAATTTGCTGTGTTCTTTAATTCGTTATGCGGACTTTGAGGAACTCATTAGACTGTTTACTGGGCGTCCTTTCATTTTTGAAAAAGACTTGTTAAATTAAACGAAATGTGATTCTTCGAATATCTTGGCGGTTCTTTGGTCGTTCTTTTAAGCGGCTTCCTGTTAATTAAATTCTTTTGACAAAACTAAATCAGGTAGCTGACGTTCCTGGAGTAACAGAGGCATTGTTCCTAACTAGACAATCTGCTCTTGCCCAAGAGAAAAATAAGTTGAGCGAAACCCCGATGCTCTACAGCTGCGGACTTTGTGGCAAGGGGTATAGAAGTTCCAAGGCTCATGCTCAGCATCTCCAATCACGAAGTCACATCACACGGGCTTCTCACGGGACTAACCATGAAGACGAGGAGAGGGCGATAATCAAGCCACTCCCACGACGTGTTGCAAATAAGGTTCCTCCACAAAAGGAGGTTGAGAGTGAAGAAAGTGAAGATAGTGAAGACGAGTGGGTGGAGGTTGATCCTGAAGAAGAATTTCTTGGGGAGGCGACAAAGTCCTTGACTGGCTTGAACGTCAATGAGCAGGGCCAGCAGGCTTCCGAAGATGACATGGACGAAGACGATGATGATAAATATGAGGGGTTGGATCCATCCTGTTGCTTTATGTGCGATTTGGAGCATGATACCATAGAGAGCTGCATGGTTCACATGCACAAGCAGCATGGTTTCTTCATTCCTGACGTTGAGTATTTGAAAGATCCAAAAGGCCTTCTTACTTATCTTGGCCTTAAGGTACAATGAATATTGTTAAGATCTTGCCTTGATCCTAACGAACTCGTTGCCTTTTATTTTCAACAAATTTGCCCTTTTCAGAAGTTAGTCTCACCTAATTTCTTTCTGTCTTCTATTTTCAGATCAAGAGGGATTTCATGTGCTTGTACTGCAACGATAGGCGTCACCCCTTTAGCAGCTTGGAAGCAGTTAGGAAGCATATGGTGGCAAAAAGCCACTGCAAAGTACACTATGGTGATGGCAATGATGAGGAGGAAGTAGAGTTGGAAGAGTTTTATGATTATAGCAGCAGGTTTTTCTCCTTCCTCATAACTGGGTCCTATTTCGATATCAGTTTTCCATTAATTTATGTATCTCATCACCATTGAACTTTGTGCTTATGCTCTGACATATGATTTGGTATGTTCTGAGCCACCCTCTTCTTATCGTTTGGTACAGTTACACCAATGAGGATGGTAAACAGCTGGTTGCATTAGGCGACGCTGTGGAACTTGTTGGGTCTGAGCTCGTCATCACTGAAAGATCTAGCACCAGAATATCGACCAAAACAATCGGTTCCAGGGAGTTCTTGCGCTACTATCGCCAGAAACCACGCCCATCACCAGTTGGTGACATGGCCATAACAGCCTCACTGGCCTCAAGGTTCGCTTATGTCTTCCCTGCATTTGTTTTCATCCATGTGTTACTGATAAGAAAACATTGATATCAAAATTTTAGTAAGGACAAACACTAAACAAGGATACCGTGCTTCGATTTTCAGGTACAGAAGCATGGGATTGGCAACTGTGCAGTCAAGAGAACAGATGGTGAGGATGAAAGTGATGAAGGCAATGAATAGATCAGGGGTGGAGGCAATGCGCACAAAGATTGGAATGAAGAGTAACGTTATTAGGAATCTGCCCAAGAATGTCCCATATTAGTTGTTATTGATTATTAGGAATCTGTCGAAGATCGTCCCATATTTGTTGTTATTGATTATTTTCGAGTTTTATTTCACCAAAAAAAAAAGAGAGATTATTTTCGAGTTTTATTTATTTATGGAATTTTTTGTTTCCATAGGATGGGTCTCGGTCTCGTAGCATTGTAGCAACCACAGATAATAACGTATATAAATGCTTTTTTTTTCCTTCCACAAGTTTGTAGAACAGCCCGAGTACCAAAATATGCGTGTCCTATCGAAGGGTGTTTGCAGACTTGGCTAGGCTTATTAATACTGAAAGGTTTTTATTTTTTTTTATTTTTTTTTATTTTTTGCTATTTTTGGCTCCCCTTTTGGCTTATGTTCCGTTGATATAGGAAATATATACTTTTGGGCATCATTTCATGTGTACAAGTAACAGTAATTTTGGACGCTTTTTTACCCAAAAAAAAAAAACATTAGTTTTTATTCATTGTTAAGGAATTTCTATGGCAGGACCTCTCACCTCTCATTTATCACTACAGGTAGAAATTGTTGTTTCAACGTTAAATTAAATATTAAATTGAATTAAAAAGGAATTATTCCGATCTTGAAAACTTAATTCAAAGATTAAAACAGTTTTTACTGAACAAATTTTACCGTAGAAATTCCCTTATCACGGTTACTATTGACCTGAGGCGAAAGAAGGAAAAAGAAGGAACGAATATGAAAGCAAGGAGTTCATTAGCCATACACAAGAAGTTACCAGAAACACAAGTAGTGGGACAAATATGAAAATATGTCAAAGTTCTCATTTATTTTTGACGGAAGAGACTAATTGTAAAATTGTTATAATTATGGGGGATAGTAAAACGATTTAAAAATAAACATCAGTTCAGGGGTTAAATTGAGACCGAGGCTGTACACAATTTAGGGGTTAAATTGAGACCTCTGTAATTCAAAGTCAAAGACCAAATTCATTAGCCATACACAAGAAGTTACCAGAAACACAAGTAGTGGGACAAATATGAAAATATGTCAAAGTTCTCATTTATTTTTGACGGAAGAGACTAATTGTAAAATTGTTATAATTATGGGGGATAGTAAAACGATTTAAAAATAAACATCAGTTCAGGGGTTAAATTGAGACCGAGGCTGTACACAATTTAGGGGTTAAATTGAGACCTCTGTAATTCAAAGTCAAAGACCAAATTCATTAGCCATACACAAGAAGTTACCAGAAACACAAGTAGTGGGACAAATATGAAAATATGTCAAAGTTCTCATTTATTTTTGACGGAAGAGACTAATTGTAAAATTGTTATAATTATGGGGGATAGTAAAACGATTTAAAAATAAACATCAGTTCAGGGGTTAAATTGAGACCTCTGTAATTCAAAGTCAAAGACCAAATTCAAAATATACACCCAAAAAGATCCAGTACCCATTGATCATTAATAAAAACAGACACGCAATTACAAAGAAACACCACTCACGAAAAAGGAAAAAAAAAAATACTGACTAATTATTTCACATATATGACCATGTAGAAACTGAAATGATGATCACCTAAGAAACAAAAGATTTTGGTGAAAGGTGAAGAACAAAATAAATAAAAACTGCAGCCTTTTTTTTTCATCACTCGCCAACATCTTAAAGTATGAAGTACTCTCCATCTTCCTCATCTCCTTTATGCTCTTCATGTTTGGTTCTTTACAATACAGATCATAAGCCTCAAAAAAAAAAAAAAACAAAAACATAAGGAATCCTACCAGGTTTTCCTATCGCAACGATGTTAATCACCTCCCATAATCCTTGTGTAAAAAAACCAAACGCGATGCCTCGTTTATTTCACTAATTCGAATTTTGTTACAGTAAAAAACTCTCAGAAACAGTCACATCTAACTTTTTTCCTATAGTAAAAAGTTCTCACATAAAGTCGCATACCAACTCGAATCAGCAAACTAAACGGGCCTAAAAAATCACATGCATCCAATTTTTTTCTCTTCAAAGTCCCTGTCGTCGAAAATATCCTTTTGCGGCGTAACTATTCTCGAAACTGTAAGGAATAATCCCAGAAGAAATCATTTATATTCATGAGAAGAAGAAGTAGAAGGAAAAACTACAACAAAAGAAGAGGAAGACAAAACACAATGTTTTGTCTAAAATGCTTTGTTATCAGATTGCTCCAGGTGTCCAAGATGATGCAGAGTCAATTTTCCCTTCTACAACAGATTGTATATATATATATATATATATATATGTTTAAGACCAGACAGAGAGGCATTTATATCCGAGAGATTGTAACTGCTTCACGGGAAAAAGGGAACCAGTACACGGTGAGTGAGAGGAGATTTGTTCTAAGAGTGTTTGGGGTGTGAGAAAATAGAAGAAATTAGGATTTCTTATGGGTATTTTCTCGGGAAACACTTTGTTTTTCTCTTGGGTTGGTTTCTAGGTTTGTGTCTCAGATTTCTCAGTTGAGGGGTTCTTCGGTGTAACCGATTGAGGGTGTAAATCTTCTTCTTTATAGTGGATTGAGTTTCTTGTGGAGGAGCTCAGCAGGATTAGGTCAAATTATTTTGGCCGAACCTGGATAATCTTGTCGTGTTCTTAGTTTATGTTTTCTTGATTATTCAGTTTCATATTTCCGATTGTGTTGGTCTCGTTCCAATAGTGGTATCAGAGCTGACGGTTAACTACCGATCGGTGAAGGCCTAGAGTGTCTGCCTTGTTTGGGGGAAATTCGGAAAAATTCAGGGAATCTTGAAGAAATCTTGAAGGTGTGCTATCTGCCTTAAGGGCTATAGAATTAGAAATTAAGAATGAAATGTCTCAAAGAAAGGACACAAATGGAGATGAAGGGTTGTTCACTAGAGGTAGACCACTCAAGAAAGAATCAGGTGAGAAGAACAAGAATAGGCCACCCTCAAGGTCAAAGTCCAAGAATGGATCAAGAAAGTGTTTTTTCTGTAAAAAGCATGGGCACATAAAAAGATTCTGCAAGGAATGGAAGAAGCATTTGGCTGAACAGAAACCTACAGAAAAGGATGCTGCAATGGTCATTCAAGACAATGGCTATGAGAGTCTTGAGATGCTCGTTGTTGGGACCTCTGAAGAAGAGTCAAAATGGATTCTGGACTCTGGGTGCACATACCATATGTGCCCAAATAAATCTTGGTTCACAAACTATGAGAGGAGAGATGGAGGCAAAGTCTTGATGAGAAACAATCATGCTTGCACAATGATTGGATCTGAAAACATCACTGTCAAGATGAATGATGGGACCTATCACACTTTCAAGGATGTCAGGCATGTTCCTGAACTTAGAAGGAACTTGGTCTCGCTGGGAGCCTTAGATGATGCAGGATATGGTTATAAGGCTGAAGGTGAAACAATGAAGATCTTAAAGGGTTCGTTAGTAGTAATGAAAGGTGAAAAGAAAGCAAGCCTTTATGTCTTGAAGGGTCAAACAGTTACTGGTACAACAGCAGCTATAATCAGTGAGAAGTCCAGGGCCGAAATCTGGCATAGAAGGCTAGGCATGTAAGTGAGAGAGGTCTCCAGGAACTCAGCAACCAGGGACTACTTGGAGACGACAAAATCAACCATTTGGACTTCTGTGAGTAGTGCATTTTAGGGAAGCAACACAGGTTGAAATTCACTACATCAACATACAGAGCAAAGAGACCACTGGATTATCTACATGCGGATCTATGGGGGCCAGAAAGAACACCTACTTATGCGGGGTCCAAGTACTTTCTTTCTATAGTTGATGATCACTCTAGGAAAGTCTGGATTTACCTATTAAAAACTAAAGATGAATGCTTTAATAAATTTAAACAATGGAAGAACCTAGTTGAGAATCAACTAAATAAAAAGGTAAAGGCCCTTAGAACTGATAATGGTCTATAATTCTGCCATGAGTTGTTCACAGATTATTGCCACATTAATGGCATCCTAAGGCATAGAACTGTGAAGAAAACACCCCAACAAAATGACATAGCAGAGAGGATGAATAGAACCTTAATGGAAAGAGTTAGGTGTATGCTATTTGGTTCAAGTTTACCTAAAGTTTTTTGGGGTGAAGCGGTCAACACTACTTGTTATCTAATTAATAAATGTCCATGTAAGCCTATAGGATTAAAGACCCCATAAGAGCTCTGGACTGGAAAGCCACCTAATCTAGGAAATTTGAGAGTCTTTGGATGTGCAGCGTATGCACACCAAAGAGAAGGGAAGTTAGACCCTAGATCCCTTAATGCATATTCCTAGGATATCCTGAGGGAGTCAAAGGATATAGATTATGCCTGAAAATGGTCCTAAGTTTAAAATCATCATTAGCAGGGATGTAATCTTTAATGAAAATAACGTGCCTTATTTTAAGAAGGACAAAGATATTGCTGCTACTTTTAATGATGCAGGAACAGGTGCAAACACCCCACGACAGCTCCAATTTGAGGTGGAGACACCAATGGCATCAAACCAAACACCAATGGATCAGGAACCTGATCATGAACCAGAGTAACAACAACAAGTATCACATGAAATAGCTGTTGAAGAACCAGGAGAGGAACTAGAGCCTGCGGTATCATAGACTCTGTCAGATTATGTTCTCTCAAGAGATAGGTCAAGGAGGTAGATCAAACCCCACAGAGATATGGTGAAAGTGAGCTCATAGCATTTGCTTTAAGCTCGGCTGAAGACCTGACAAAAATTGAACCAGGTACATATCAAGAAGCAGTCTCATGCTCTCAGTCCAGCAAGTGGATTGCTGCCATGGAGGAAGAGATGAACTCTCTCAGGAAGAATAACACTTGGGTCTTAATGGATAAGCCTAAGAAGCAAAAACTTGTTTCCTGCAGGTGGATCTTTAAGGTTAAAGATGGAGCTGCACTAAATGAGCCCAGGAGATACAAGGCAAGATTAGTAGGTAAAGGGTTCACACAAGTTGAAGGCATAGATTACACTGAGGTGTTCTCACCGGTTGTGAAATACAAGACAATAAGAACTATTCTTGCCTTAGTAGCTCAAAAGGACTGGGAATTGGAGCAGATGGATGTTAAAACTGCTTTCTTACATAGGGACCTGATTGAAACAATTTATATGCAACAACCACCTGTTTTGAAGTAAAAGGAAAGGATGAAAAGGTGTGTTTGCTGCGGAAGTCCTTGTATGGATTGAAACAATCCCTAAGGCAATGGTATAAGATTCGACAGTTATGTGGTTAAAGC